GGATCTCCTATGGGGCCACGAAACGTGTGAGGGGTATGCCGAAATGAGTGGCGGGGACGCATGCGGACTGTGCCACTGGGACCTTCGGCGGAGTTTCTATGGGGCCACGAAGCGTGTGATGGGTGTGCCGAAATGAGTGGCGGGGACGCGTGCGGACTGTGCCACTGGGGCCGTCGGCGAAGCCCCTATGGGGCCACGAAGCGTTGTATTGGGTGGGGGACACGCATGCGGACTGCGCCGCGGGGACTTTCGGTGGCGGTCCCCGTGGGGCCACGAAACATTGTACTGGATCGGGGAAGACGCATGCCAACCGCGCCATTGGGACCTTCGGTGGAGCTCCCTATGGGGCAACGAAGCGTGTGATGATGTTGATGATGCTGATGTTGATGGTGGTGATGACGACGATGATGATGACGATGCTGATGATGAGGATGAGGATGATGATGATGATGAGGAGGAGGAGGAGGGGAGGAGGAGGAGGAGGAGGAGGCGGAGGAGGAGGACAAGGGGAGGGAGGAGGGAAGAGGAGGAACGCGGGGCGACGTCTGTTCAAAACGAGGACCCAACACCACAGGATGGTTGGGAGCAAAAACGTAGCCGACGTTGCCGCTGCATCTCCGATGCATCGGTGGGTGGGGGAGAGTTTCAGAAGCGGGAGGGTGGGAGTGTTTCGGGCTGCGCGCAGACAGCCCGTCCCAGGTAGCCCCGGCTGGCTCCAACAGCCGCCCCGAGAATTCCCACTTGGCCTCAGCAGGCCCCCCGAGCAGTCTGGGGCGGCCCCAACAACTTCGCGCCGCCTCTGGCGGCGCTCCTGGAGCGCTCCGCGCCCCAGGGTTGAAGCGTTGAGACCTCCAAGACGAGGCCCACCCTGCGGAGCGTTCCTCGCTGCGGGCGGGGACAATATGCGGGGGGAGGGGAGGCGGGGAAAAAGGTGCACATTTCGTGAACACCCAGGGGCCCCAGGGAGGCCCCCTCTTTAGGGCCCCTCTTCTGCCTCCCTCGATCCCTCCCCCAATGCGTCGCCCCCCTTTCGAAGCGCCCGACAGTCGGGCGCGCTGTGGGCTATTCGGGGGGCCGGCCCGCCAAGGCCGGCTGGGATTGCTCGGGGGGCCTGCGGGGCCCAGCCGGGGCTGCCCGGTGAGGTTGCCTGCGCACAGCCCGAAGCCTTACCACGGGAGGGGAGGCAGAGGTCGCTGCGCCTCGGTGACAACAAGAATTATTTAATCGCTTCGCTCATGCCGCCGGCCCTGGAGCCCTCTTTAGGGCCTCTTGGGGGCCTCTTGGGGACCTCTTGGGAGTCTCTTGGGGCTCCTTGGCGGCGTTTTGGAGGCCCCCAGGGCCTCTTGGGGGGCTCTTGGGAGTAGTCGATTGCGGCTCCCCCCTTACTACGGGAGGGGAGGCAGAGGTCGCTGCGCCTCGGTGGCAACAAGAATTGTTGCGCCGAGCCGTCCCCATCTAGGACCTGCTGCGAATTGGTTCGAAGTCAGTCGCGCGTGTCTCCGCGGCGCGTTATGGGGCATCCCGATTCATGTATGGTTGTTGCACCTGTTATGATGTACGCTCCGTATGAGCGTGTATGCTATCATGTGTTAGTAATGTGCAGCATGTTGAGGTGTTATGCATGTGTGATACCTGTTCTTGGCTCTCGCACAAACAGTGCGCTCACGCCTTGCGGTGTGTTATGTTTGTTGGTTTGTGTTGGGTGTAGATTGTGTCCATGGTGTGCGTCGTTGATGCGAGTTCCATATGTTTGTCATAGAAACGCAGTCGCCATCCAGGTGCATAGTGCATTATTTGGGCGAAACGCGTTGATGCATGTTGCCGATGTGTGTTTGGGCAGTTGTGTTATCCTTGGTTGTGCGATGTGACTGTGTTGGCGTCTGCTGCTGACATGCGGTGTCTGGAGACATTATTGCTGCATGTTCGTTGTGCATGTCTTTGGCATGAAAGGGCTTGGCTTATGTTATTGACGCTAGTTAGTCCGCATACATGTTAGCGGTGTCCGCTCTTGCTGTCGGCTCTTGTTGTCCAGTCTCGGTGAACTCTGCTGATGCGCGCCCTTGGTTGACGCTTCTGTTATGCTGTATTGCCGTTGTGCTGTTGGCATGTGATGCTGACGCGTGATTTTTGCACGCCTGCGCTGACGCAGACTCGTGGCTCTGGGCGTTCTGCGCCGAGGCCGCCGTTGCGCCGCGGCGGCGCGAGGACGAGGAGAGCGCGCCAAGTCGGCCGCGACGGTCATTGTGCCTCTGGGCGGTCCTGCTTCGGCGCGCTCGCGCTGGGCCACGGACCGCGCTCTCGCGTCGCACGGCCTCTTCGGCAGAGCTGCCGAGCCCGCCGCGTTCTCGGCGTCGACCTCGGCGCACGGCAGGGTCGGCGCCCAGCCCCTCGCAGCGGCGGGCAGGGCGGCGGCCGTGCGCGACGCGTTGGGCTCCAAGGGGGGGCACCTCGGCGGAGCTCGTGCGGAGGCGGCGCCGCGCGGACCTCTGCAAAAGGCGCGGCGCTGCTGCTCCGCGCGGCGGCACCCACCGCCGCCGAGGGGGTGCTGACCGGCCGGGCACGGCGGCGCGCTCCGCCGCTCCGCGGCGCGCCTGCGCGGCTGGCCGCCCTCCGATGCCTCGTCGGCGCCAGTGCTCTGCGGGCGCTCGCGAGGGCGGGCTCGGCCTCGGGCGGGCCCGCGGCGAGGCGCGCTGCCCGCGCTCTGCACTTCGTGCTCGGACTCGCGGGGCAATCAAGGGGCCGGCCTGCGCGAGGCCTTCCTCTCGGCGGACCGTCGCGGGAAGTCCATGCCCGGCGCGCTGCGACGCGCAGGCGGCCGCCGCTCTGCCGAGGCGTTTGAGGCCGGACTGGGCCGCGAGGGGCGAGCTCCGGGGGGGCGGCGCGGAAAGGGTCGCTGCTGGCCGGGGACGGCCGCGTCTCGCCAGACGGCGCACGGGGGCCCGAGCAGGCGCTGGATGGGCGGCTGCAGTCTCGCCTCTGCGCCGCTGCCGACGGCGCCGCGGCCGAGCGCCTCTCCGCCGACTTCGCCGCCGCCGTGCGCCGCGACCGGCTGGGGTTCTCGGCCCGGCGCAGGGCCCTACCCTCGACTCCCGGGGGGCACCTCGCGGCGGTGCGCGCGCGAGGAGAGGCGCCCCCGCCGTCGGCGGCGAGCGCGCGTCGCGCCATCGGCGCGGCGCCCGCGCCCTCGAGGCCGGGCCTGCTCTCGCGCTCTGCAGACGCCACGCTGGAGAAGCTGCGCGGTGCGCGACCACGTCTTGACGCTCGCGCACTTGGCCGACCCCGGCGCCGAAGCCCCCAATGCCGCGCCTGTTGCGCTCCCCTTCACTCCAGCCTGGGTCAGGGGTCGCGGCTCGCAGGTCAGGAGTTGCACGGGCATTATAAAGGTCGACCTGTCTCCAGGGGCCCGTTCGACGAGGGATGCAGCACGCCGGTGCGCGACCGCGCCTTGACGCCGGCGCATTTGGCCGAGACTAGCGCCGATGCCGAGGCTCCGCGGCAGATGCCAGTGCCCCGCCGTGCAGATGTCCTGACCAGCGCGGCCAAGGGCGCCCTTGAGAGCGCGAAGTTATTCGCGCTTCGCGCTTCGCGGTTCGGCTCCGATTTCTCCTCGTCCTCCTCTTCTCCCATGGGAGGCGGCGCGAGAGCGCGAAGTTATTCGCACTTCGCGCTTCGCGCAGCGCGAAGCGCGAAGTTGGGAGCCCTTAGCGGCCCTCGCGGACCGCGTCGCGGCTCTGGACGTGGGCGCGCGGTGCCAAGGCCAAGGAGTGCCGCTGCGTCGGCGAGGGCTGCCGCGGCGCCCTGCGCGCGCGGACGGCTCGACGACTGCAGGAGGCAGGTGGCGGAGTTTCGGCCACGCGCACACTGGGGGTGCAGGGGGGTTTGGGGAAGGCTTCTTAGAGACACTCCTGCTTCTTAGAAGGTGCCAGCCTTCTCTAGAAGCGTGAGGCCGGCGTCTTCTAAGAAGCCGCTTGCCTGTAAGAGGCCCCCTCCCCCTCCCCCTACTACCCCTGTCTGCGCGCCGCCAAGAGTCGGCAGCGGTGGGAATCACGTGCGTGCCGCTGGTATCAGGGCTGGACCTGAACGCTGTTTTGCTGGACTTTGGCTGTGTCTTGTTTTTCGTTTTGGCTGGGAGGTACAGGAAAGCATCTAGAGCAACACGAACAGGAAAAACGCTCACAGAACGATAGCCAACGTGAAGGTCCAGCCCTGCCTGGTATGACCCGCTTCCCGCCGCGCCCACCCGGAGGCGCGGGCGGCGCTCCGCAGAGGCTGGCGCCGCGGGCCGCGCGGCGCCGTGGGCTGCGCTGCAACGGGGGCGGTCACACGCGCAGGACGCAGGCGCGGCAAGCTGGGTGGCCATTGCGCGGCGCGCCGCCGCCATGGTTCATTAGGGCAACGATGATCGACAGACACATAAAACTCGGAGGTCCGAGTTGTTATGGTTCTGGCATGCTTCGTTCCCCCAATGATTCACGCTCGTCCTTCCGCGGTCGCTTCCAAGGATGATCGCCTGCTGTGGGCGAAGGCCGCGCCGGCATGGGACATTTGCGGGAGGCGGGCTTCGGAGGCCTGTGTTTGGGGGAAGAAGCGAACCACGTACTCGTGTTTGGCGCTTCCCCCCTTTCATTTTAGGAGTGCTGTTGATGTGCGCGCACGACCCCCGCTCTTGGTGTATAGTCTTGGTATATGGGCGTGGTGCTTGCTCTTGTTGTGTATTGCTCATGTGCGCCTGGCGTTATTTTGGTGGTGTGCGGTCGATATTGGTCGTTGGTGTGTAATAGCAGCGCGCATCCATGACGCACGCTGTTGGCATCTTGTATTGCCCGTTCTGAGTGCGAGTTCCAGGTTCGTGCCTTCGCAGCATGTCTTTGACGTCTGGCGCTGCTGATTGCAATCGGAAGAGGAAGGGAGGGACGTGGAGCAACCTGTGGTTGGGCGAGCTCCCTGCGCCGATCCGCATCGCTCCACGATCTCCGCCGCAAAACTTCGGCGGCTTGCAGTGGGCCCTGGCGCCCTCTGGCCCGGTGGACGGCCCCTTCTAGCCGTCCTGCCTTGCGGCATGCCGCCGTCCGTTCGGCCCGAAGATCACAATCGTTTCCTGTTCATTTTGGGCAGGGCTCGCTGTCGGCGTCGCCAGGGACATTCGCCCATTTGAGGCAAAGGGGCACCTGCCCAAAAGCGGCCACTGCCGCTTTTGGAGAACATGTGTTGTTGGGCATCGTGATCATTTTTTCCGTACCTCTTTCGGGCGTCCAAATCGTCGCATGTGCCAGTCGTCGTCGTCGTCGTCGTCGTCGTCGTCGTCGTCGTCGTCGTCGTCGTCGTCGTCGTCCGCATGTCCCCCTCCCCCTCTTCCCGCGCCAGCCCCTCCCCTCCCTTGAGCTCCCAGCGTTTTTCCATCCTGCGAGCCGGGCTTCCCTGGAGCTCCTGGCGTTTCCATGCTGCGAGCCGGGCGCGCTCGCACGGCTCTCGGGCCCCGGGGCTCTTCACGGATGCCTCGGGTCCCCGACGGGCGCGGCGCGGCGAGACGGGCCCCGGGCCTCGGGGCCCCTCCCCTCCCTCCCTCCCTCCTGCCGCGCGGCACCTCCACGCCTGCTACCCCGAGCTTCGGGAACCCGTGGGCGCAGCGTCCTGCCGAAACCGCCGCCTCGTCGCCCGCAGGGAGACTGGTCGTGGAGGCGCCCAGGTCCTCCTGCGCCTCCAACCCTCCTCCTCCTCATCCAGTCTTCTTCCAATCCTCCTGCTCCAATCTTCCTCCAGTCCTCCTCCTCGTCATCCTCCTCATCCTCCTCCTCCTTCTCCTCCTCCATCTCCTCCTCCACATCCTCCTCCTCCTCGCCCCCCCCCACGGATTGCGCCTCGAGGCCTCTCTGGGGCGCCCCGGGGCTCCCCTCCCGGCCCCCCCTTGGCGATCCCCGGGAGCCTCCGCAGACGACCAGACCGTCCTCGAGAAGACGACGACGCCCCGCGCGATCCCCGAGGAACCTCCGAACACGGCGGCGGCGACGGCGGCGGCGATCCCCCCATCCTCGGGGAAGAACTCAATCGGAGACCTGTTGAAGGCACCACGTATGGGGGCGTTCCCGAAGTTCCCAAGCACCTCGATGTGCTTCTGCCCCCCCCACCGCGCAGCACCGTCGCCGTCTAGGAGAGACAGGGCATCTCTGAGAAGCGTCAGCTGGTTGCCAGACTGGGTCGCCCATGCAGCCGTAGGCTGCCCCCCTTCGCGGGGAGTCGCGATTCCACGATAAACTCCCCCTGATCCTCGAAGAATAGAACACCCTAAACCCTGATTTTTTCGCTTCTCAGGGTCCTTTCACCTTTCCGACATGTGCAAGCACGTGTGGGACGCTCTACGCGCCTCTAGGCGCGTCTCGGAACATCTGGGACGCGCCCTGGAAGCGCCGAGGAGCGCCTGGGAGCGCCAGGGAGCGCTCCCAAGCGCCAGGGAACGTCTGGGAACGCCTGGGAGCGCCTGGGATCGCTTGGAAGTGTTAGGAACCGCCTGGGAGCGCTTGGAGCGCCTCGCGGCGCCTGGGTTCGCTGGGGAGCGCCTGGGAGCGTCTGTGAATGCTTGTGAGCGCCTGGGGGCACTGGGAGCGTCATGTAGCTTCGGAGGGTTGAACGCCCGGCGACCGCTCCCCATCGCAGAATCCTTCCCGCTGCCGCCCATTGGGGAATTTAGGGGCCAGCGGCCCTAAACCCTAAAAGGCTTTAGTTTGGGAGGTCGCCGGCCATGCGGCCGGGGGTGGGAAGTGGTTGCAGCTCTTGCGTCGTCGGCAGGCCAGAGCGAGTCGGCTAAACGCCCCCCCAATCAAGGCTGCCGAAGGGGGGGCAGCCTTGCCCAGACTGTCGGCCGCTGCGCGCCCGAGAAGCCCTAGACCCTAAACCCTAGGGGCTCTCCCGGCAGCCTGGCCCAGACCGTTGAGACCTGTTCGGGCTCCCCGAGAGCCGCCGCCTCTCCTTCCTCCACGCCCTCCGCGGGCGAAAAAAAGTTTGCTGGCTGTCGGTGGGCGCCTGCGATCCGCGCCCCCAAGGGCCTTCCACGTGGGTGCGAAGTCATTCGCGCTTCGCGGTCCTCGTTCCTTCTCCCCCTCCTCCTCGTCCTCCTCTTCTCCCTTCGGGGGGGCGGCGCAAGAGCGCGAAGTCATTCGCGCTTCGCGGAGCGCGAAGCGCGAAGTTCGGAGCCCCAGTCCCCCGCGCTTCCTCCCCCATCGCCGAGATGGCAGACCTAGCGGTGCTGCTCTGTCAAGGGCCAGCCTCTGGCAATGCAGAGGAAAGCTTGCATGGACGTGTGAGGAGTGGTCTCGGGTCGGGAGTGTGCCTTATTGCAGCATCGGTGATGCCTTTTAGGTTTACTCTGGTTCTCCCCCCCCCTGCCAATCCACGTCCAAGCGCCCCCAGGCTTTCCCTCCAAGGCATCCGTGCTCGCGTGCTTCGCCATCCTGGAGCCAGAGCTCTCCGAGAGTCGGGCGTTGACGGAGAGCCCACCCGATTAGTCGACAGAGGACATTTCTATCGGTTTATTCGACATGGGCATTCGAGCGTACTTGGGCAGTCCCCAGCCGGTTTTGCGAATCGACGTGTGGCTTGCCGAATCCGTTCGCTTGCTGTTGGACGTCGATGTGGTCTCCCGCCCCGGTCCACTCGGGAGGCAGTGCCGTGCGCGCGCGCGGAGTGCCCCTGGATGGTTGCTTTGCAGGGCGTTTTGCTAGAGTCAGAGCGTGAGTTACCTGCCCCGCTCTCGCTTCCAGGCAAAACCAAGTCATACCGCGCGCCCCCTTCGTCCAGCAGCCTGATCAGGTATCTCTTGGAAGCGAGGGTGGTCAAAAGCGAGGTAGGCTTGTTTGCCCCCTATAGAGGGTGTTGTGTCAGCCCTCTGGGGAGTGCAGGCCCTGCTGGGGTCCGGCTTCGGCACCTCGCGCAGGCCCGGAGCGCGGTCGCCCGAGCCGGCCTCGCGCGACGAGCCCGGGCGGGCTTCGCGCGACGAGCCCGAGCTCACCCTCGTGGCCGTCCTCGGCGCTTCCCTCCCCCGGAAGGGCTCAGAGCAAGGTGGCGGATGGATCTTCTGCCCCATGCGTCTGGAACAGCTGGTAGGGCACCAGAAAGAATGACTTCAAACCTCGAGCGCCTCATCTTGTGCTCCTCCTCCTCCTCTTCCTGTTCCTGTTCCTGTTCCTCCTCCTCCTCCTCCTCCTCCTTCTCCTCCTCACTCTCCTCCTCCTCCGCCTTCTTCTTCTTCTTATTATTATTATTATTCTTCTTCTTTTTCTCCTTGTGCTTCTCTACTCTCCTCCTCATCATCCTCTTCCCTCCTCGCCCTCCTCATCTTCCCTCGCCGTCACCCCTTGTTTTCCTATCCCTCCTCCTCCTACTCCTGTTTCTATTCCTCCCCATACTCCTCCTCTCCTTCTCCCCTTCCTCCTCCTCGTACTCCTCCTCCTCCTCCTCATCATCATCATCCTTCTCCTCCTCCTCCTCCCCCTCCTCCTTTTTCTTCTTTCAATCCTTCTCCTCCCCCTCCATCCTCCTTCTCCTGGCTCCCCAGTTGGGCTCAAGCTCGCATCGCTGGCTGGACCCCGTTGGGTCGCTGCGCACCGATGCCGCGGGCGACAGACTTTCGTTGCAGTGGCGTGGAAATCTCGCTCGGGGCCTTCTGGCCGCACAAGCTGCTTGCGGTTTTGCTACAGGTCACTCCCGCGCGGAAGTGCGGCTGCTTCGCGCGGCCGAAGGGCTGTTGCGCGCAGCCGTCTTAGCGCCCTGCGCTCCTGAGGTGGCGCCCGTGCCTGTGCTTGCGGGTGATTCGGCGGCGTCTCGACGTCGACGGCGGCATCGCCCACGAGTCTGCACCTCATGGAGTTCTTGATATTCGCGGCGGCGGCTTGGCGCAAGCGGCAGCGGTGGAGGTGATGAAATGCAACAGCATAACAATCACCAGGCCGTCAGACGAGCTCAGCGACGCCTGCGCGGATGCATTGCCGCCCACCCAGACGGGCCCAGGCAAGTGCAAAGACAAGAGCAAGGGTACGCCCACCAGCTTACCCGACTCATGTGTTCGATTTCGCCGTGCCCCATTTGAGAGCTTGGAGGCGGTGGTCGTCAGCGTCGGGGATAGCACCACCCAGATCCGCTTCTGGGAGGACGGCGACGATGCGCCGCCGATCGGCGTCAACTTCGACATCATGGAGCTTATGGATCTGGCGGGGGGCAGCAGAAGAGGGCTCGGTCGGTCGGTGGCCTCGCCGCTTCTCGTTGCGGTCCACCACCCCCTCCCCACCCCGCGCTCATCGTGGTCACGCTCGTTTTGCCTTTTGTCCAACATCGTGGTCTTTCGACGGCTTCGCCGCGTTCGAGGGTCCATCTCTGCGCTGATGGTCGCGCTGATCGAGCGCGGCTGGTATCCAGCAGGCCCCTATGGGGTGGGCGAGGTTCCTCCCCGACGGCGGCCGCGACAAACGGACCTTCCCCGTCGCGGACTCCATGGCAGTTGCAGCTTGCGGAGGCGTTTGGCGATTCTGTGGTTATATCGTACTCTGCGGCGCGACGCAATTAGCATCTTGATGTAGAGGGGGGCTTCGAAGGGAGGTGCAGATCTCGCAGGTATCCATCGGCTGCTTCGGCTGTTGCGTCAGCTCTCAGAGGGGCTCTTCCTCGACGGCAGCCGCGACGCGTGGACCTTCCCCGTCGCGGAGGCCCTGGCAGCGGTTCCAGTCGGCAGCTCGTGGGGGCGTTCTACGATTCGGTCGTCAGTGCTCTGTGGCGCGACACAGCAGCGTTCTGAAGTAGACGGGGCCTCGAAGGAGGTGCAGATCTCGCAGGTCTCCAACGGGTGTTCTTCGGCAGCTGCGCCACTTCCCAAGTGGGCGTGATCACCATTGCGGCCATGGTCACAAGACCAAACCCGTAGCTATCCCTAGCAGGTGCGGGCCTCCAGCTGACCATTCCACCGTCGCTGGAGCTGCGAGCGGGACAATGTTTTTATCCACCCCAGGGATGACACATGTTACCCCCCCTTGCCACCCCCCACAACGGTAACGCCCCGGCCTTGTCCATTGCGCGATCTCAGGCAGCCTAGGGTCTGTGGTGCAGTGTGCACCAGCGTTGTGGCGCACACAACTGTCGTTGCAGCAGCACTTGTGGTGTACACAGGCATGCTGGGTGTACGCAAGCATTGCGGTGTACACATCACAAGCCCTGTACCCGCTGTGTTGCACAAGGTCGCCATAACGTAAGCGTGACTTGTGAGCTATGTTGTACCCACGCATCGTTTCCTAGTTGTTGTTCCTCCTCTCTCTTCCTTTTCGTCCTCCTCGTCGTCGTCCTCCTTGCGCATACCGCATACAGGACACGGGCACTGTGGTATACAAAAGCGCGGTGGTGCACACAGGCCATGTGGTGCACACAGGCGTTGCGTTTCACATTCGCTGTAGACTAAAAATGTCCGAGCGTTTTCCTGGCCAGAAAAACGGGTAGTCACAATCAGATCATATAGTAAATGTTATACATTCGGACCGCCACGGATTTCTTTGACTTTGGTTCCGCCTGGGCAATCGGGGTGTACTTGCTGTTAGATGATGGCGTGCATCTTGGCAGTGTTCTTGAAAGAATATCGCGGGCCCCGAGCTGTCGGCCCAATCGTGGGTTTTGTTGTGCTTTTCCTGCTGCTACTGCTGTTGCTGTTCCTCCTGCTTCTCCTGCGTGTACTCCCTCGGCTGACGCCGCTCCGAGCGCACCAAAGCCGCGTGGTGTTCGAGGACGCCGTGGTGCGCGCAGTTGCCATGACGTGCGCAGCCTCTACGATGTACACCAGCACTGCGGGCCCACAATATCCGAGCGTTCCGTGGCCCCCCCAAAAAAAATCACAACCAACCCGCCGATTGAATTTGACGCGTTCGGGCCTGCAGCGATTTTCAGGAATTTGGCTTCGTCGGTAGTTTCGGGTTACACAAACTTTGCGGTGCATGCAGGCATTGTGGCGCAAAGGGGGTGTTGAAACAGTAGTTGTGGGGCACACGGGGGCCGTACTGTGCATAAGCAGTGCGATGCACAAGCGCGTTAGTGCACACAGCATTTTTGCAACAGTCCTGGTGCACAAAAGCATTGTGGTGTACAGAGCCCGTGTTGTGTGCACAAGCGTTGAAGGCTTCGACGGCGACGACGACGAGGACGACGACGGCAACGACGACGACGACGGGAGGCGCGCCTCGGGGGGTGCGAGCCGCGGCCTCCGTTGCCGTTCCCCCCCCGGCCAACCCCCCGCTAACATGGGTGCAACACGGGTGCAACACGGGTCCAGAGTCGCGCGGCACCAGCGAACCGTTCCGTGTCCCTGGCTTCCTGGACTGACCGCGGTGTCTTGGACGGATGTCCGCCCGCCCGCGATCGCGGAGGCGTGGGCCACCGGGGGCGTCGAAAACATGTTTTTCGGGCGCGGCGAGAGCTGGTCATCCGTGTTCGCGCTCGGCGATACCAGCGTCGGGGCGTGCCACAAGTCTTCCGAATTGCGACGCGTCGGCGTCGGTGTCGTGGTTCTGGACGTCGCCGCCTTGCAGACCATCATGATGATGCACGGGCCTCTCTGGCACGATGGATGCAGCTCATCGGGGTGATTCGTTGGCGCTGATCCGGCGCGTCGAGTGCGCGCTGGAGCTCGTCGCCCACGTTGCCCACAACCTGGCGGTGTGCGACGTCTGGTGGCAGATGCGGCAACATATCGAGCAGAGGCCCCATGGGCCAGATCATGCTTTGCGGCGGAGGTTGGGTCGCGCGCTCCAACAGCCTGGCCCGAAGGAAGAGTGGCGATCGCAGTCGCGCGCGCGGGCTCGCAGCTGGGCGCGTAGCACGCGGTGCAGCGGGAGCACTGGTCCGCAGCGACGGTGCCGCCGATCTCGCTGCTGGATGCGCCGCCGACGCCACGCGCTTGCCCGCCGTGAGGAGGGCTAGAGCGTTTCGGAACGAGGCGATGGCGACCAAGGTATGGCGGTGGTTGCCGCGGTCCACGCTCGACTTGCTGGTCGAAGGGCAGAGGCACCAGGCGCGTGGCGGCCGCCCGCGCCGGGCGCCCCCGGCAGCTGGCGTCGCCGCAGCGTTCGCTCGGAGGCGACGATAGGGGCGAATAGCCCAGGGGAGAGCAATACATGCATTCCGGTGCGCCGAATCTATGGCTTCGAAGAGGCTCCCGGGCGAATGCGCGTAATGCCCGCCCCTGGGCTGTTCGCCCCTATCGTCGCCGCCGATTCGCCGCGGCGCATGCGCTGCGTTACGACGGGCGCCCCGGCGCTGTGCTGTGCGCTTCCGCTGGGGCGCTGTGCTACGACGGGCGCCCCGGCGCGACCTGGCGCTGTGCGGCTTCCGCCGGGGCGCGCGCGCGCAGTGGCCGGGCACGCCCCGGTCCGGGTGGCCGCTCGCCCCGCGCGGCCGCCCGGGGCGCCCCCGATGCCGCCCGAAGGCCCGCGAGTGCAGGGCCGGCGGGCAGGCACCGGGCCCGAGCCAGCGGACAGCGCTGCCGGGGTCAAGCAGAGGCGAAGCGTCCTGGCTCGCCTATAGCCCTCCCAAAGAATGGTCTAAGAACCTGTTGTGGCCTCCACGAACTTCGTGGGCCCTGGAAGCGACAGGGCCGTTTTTTGACCGATTCCGTTTTGCCGTTTTTGTTGCCAGTTCCGGCGCCGTTTTTTTCACCGGTTCCGTCGCCGTGCTTTTACGGATTCCCGCTCCGGTTCCAATCCTGGAGTTTTTTTTGTTGCCGTTTCCAGTCGCCCTTTTTGTTTGCCGTTTCCATTTTCAAGGGGCACTTTTTGGGGAAACGGTGAAAAAAAACGGCCCTGCCGCTTCCGGGGCCCACTAAGTCCACGAAGCATTCTTAGAATTTGTCTGGCAGAGTCTGTTTTGTTTCATCACATCGGGCTTATGTCCTAGGAACATTGTTTTGGTTTTTGGTCCTTTTTCAGGTTCGAAGAACATTTTGCGGTAGGACTATAGGAATGTCAGGACGGTCGGTCCCTGGCTGTTTGGCGGTGCACCTCCTGCGGGCTGTTCGTCCCCGTGAGCGGTCGCCCCCTTGGCTCAGGAGGGGAGAAAACAGGCAGACACAATGAATCGTCGATTCCTTCGAAAAGATGGGAGAATCTGGGAATTGGGCGGGAAGACCGAAACCCAGAAAATATGATAAAATATGGGGAACCTCTTGTTTGTATGAATGGGAAAATATATGAGAATATGGGACAATATGGGAACATGGTGGAGCATTTTGGAAAAAATATTGAGGCTTTCAATTTGTGTGACTTTATCTGTGTGTCCTTGGGCCCCTTGACTGGCGCAGGGCCGGCGGCTGGGCGCCCGCCCGCGCCGACTGCCACGGGGTTGCGAGTACCCCGCGTCCCTGACTCCCCTCCCCCCCCTGAGACCCCTCCCTACCTGGGGAGGACCCGAGGAGGACCAGCGCGCCGGAGAAGGACCGGCGTGGAAGCACAGGACCCCCAGAGGCGAGGCGAATCTGATCCCCCCCCCCCTCGTCCAGAATCTGCCCGTAGAGGGGAACACGACCGACCTAACACGGGGGGGGGGGGGTAACGAATCACCCAGCGGCACGAGCAGCGGCACCCGATCGACGAGACGCGGGACCACCTGTCGGGGGAGCGTAAGACCCGGGTTTGCCGGGACTCGGGTTCGCCATCGTTTTTTGACGACCGCGACTCGGATTTTGACGAGGAGGAGTTTCGTGGGATGTCTGCAGCGGGAGGCCTCGTCAAAATGCAGGCTCGGCCTCGTCATTTTTTTGACGACCTCGTCGGGGATTTCCGAGTCCCCCCGTAACCGGGTCTTACGTCTCCCCGAACCTGGACGAGGAATCGGAGGCTCGCGCCTGAGTTCGCAAGGTCGGCGCGGCCTGCCGGGCTGCCAAGGGCCGCCCTGCCGCTCGCGGCGCGGCGGCGGCCGCCCGCCACCGCGACCGTCCGAGCGATTCCTCAACGATCCCCCGACCCTCCTCCTTCCTTCTCCTCTTCCTCCTCTCCACTTCCTCCTTTTCCTCCTCCTCCTCCTCATTTTGCTCCTCCTCCTCCTTCTCCTTTTGCTCCTCCCCCTTCTCCTCCTCCTCCTCCTCCTCCCTCCTCCTCCTCCTCCCTTCCTCCTCTCCTCCTCCTCTCCTCCTTCCTCCTCCTCCTCCTCCTCTCCTCCTCCTCCCTCCTCCCCTCCTCCTCCTCCTCCTCCTCCTCCCCGCGCACCCGCCCCCCGTGCCGGAACATAGCGCTGGCGGGGGGTCGCCTGTCCCCCCCCCGCCCGCCCCCCTCTTGGCGCAGTGGGCGCCCAGCGGACTCCTCGTTCCCCGGCGGCCGCAGGGAAACCGCCGGCCCGCGACGATGCCCACGACTCCCTTGGCGACGCCGCGCCGGCGGCCGCGATGCCGCCACTCCTCCCTCTCGGAGGGGAAAGTAGGGAAGCGAGGAGTTTTTCCATCTGGGACCCCCCTCCCTGGCGCGCGGAGAGCGCCAGGGGCGGCGCCAGAGGCGCTGCCAGGGGGCCCAGCGCCGATCCAAGAAGTCCGCGCGGACCTCTGAGTTTTTACGTTCATGTCATTGTTCGTTCCCCCTGAGAAGGGGCCGATGCCGCTGCCGTTCCCTGGTTTTCGCATTCTCGGGCCTCCCGTGAGGCCCTCGTTGCTGCCGCTGGACGCGCTGCGATGTTGTGGTTGGAGTGCACGGAGAGGTCGGGGGAGCATCGGCGTTGGGAACCTTTTGCGTCCCCACCCAGCATGATCGGAATAAGTACGGAAAGAATTGGCACAAAGCCGCACAGCAGTTCCGATTCATTTTGAACAGGACTCGCTGTCCACGCCGCCGCGGCCTGTGTCCATTCGAGACAGAAGGCCGCCTGCCCAACAGCGGTCGCTGTTGGTTTGGGACAACATTTGTTGCTGGGCATTGTACCCATGTTTTCCGTACCCAGTTCGGGCGCCCGAACCCACGTCCCATCCTGGGGCCAGGAGCGATCCGTGTGTCCACAGTCGGGTTTGGTCCGCAGGTCGACTCTTCCAAGTCACGGGTGTCTTGTTGGTTCGCTTGAGCAGTAAACAAGCTGTACACCAAGGCAGCCTGTGCAGTCCAGGGATCCACAGAACGGCTGAAATTTGTTCGGACATTGTTCGGATCGGGTACGAAAAAAGGGGATTTGGACAAAGCCCCCACCAGGGTAAACGACCGCGTTAAAACAACGGCGCCAGAAACGTCTACAAAAGCAGCACCGGAAGTTCGCCCTGTCGTTTCCAGGGCACGTTACGATCGAGGAGAAGCGATTACCGAAAAGGCCGTGCTAAGATGAGCAAGGACGCACTGCGAGCATCGGGCCGCATCGCGTCGTCTGAACATCGGATTCGAGGTCTGACGTTCGTAGGGGAGCGAAACATGACATTGACATACACAAACTCGGACGTCCGCGCGGATTTCTCGGATCCGCGCGGGACCCCCCTGGCGGCGCCTCCAGCGCCGCCCCTGGCGCGCACCGCGCGCCATGGCGGGGCTCCCGGCGCCGATCCGAGGAATCCGCGCGGACCTCCGAGTTTTTTATGTTTGTATTCCTCGTCCCCCCCAGTTCGGCGCCCGAGCCTCTAGGATCGAGGAGGAGCGACCGACCCCCCCCGGATCGAGAAGGATCGAGGCGCGAGGCTCGAGGGGGAGGATCGAGGCCCGAGGAGGAGGCTCGAGGCTCGGGGAGGAGGATCGACGAGGAGCTCGGAGCGAGGATCGGGGCCCCACCCTCCAAGAGGTTCCGCGCGCGGCAGGGCCTGCGCGTCCCGCGCGCGCTCGCGCAGCGGGCCGGGCGCCGCCGCGCGCGCTCGGCGAGCCCGCCGTGGCCCCGGTGGCCCGCCGCCGCCGCCCGCAGCGTCTGGGGCGGGAAGGCGCGGAGTCGGGTCGGGCGCGGAGGTACCCATACCTCTACCCTGAGGTCGGGCCTGTCCCCCTACATGGGGATTTTCGACGACCAATACAAGATATCCAAAAATAGTCCAAACGTAGTCGGGGGACTATTTTTCAGTTTTTGTTTGCCTTTGGGGGTATTGTTAGGGTATTTTTTATTGTTCGTCAAAAGTCCTTCATGTAGGGGGACAGGCCCGACTTAACTCTATAGCCCTCGCCCGTTTTCCCCCTTTTGGGCCTCCTCGGCCTCTGCCGTCGCCGCCGCTGGATTCGCCTCGAAATTCTGGTCCGAGCGCACCGCGGCCGATGCCTCGGCGGTGTACATCGGCGATGCTCCAGCGGCCCGCCACCGCCCCCCTCGAGAGCAGCGTCGGGGAGGGACTGGCTCGGAGGCCGGGGGCGGCCAAGAGGGCGTTGAGGGCTAGACAAGCTCGGGGGGGCGAGATCCTGGCCAGGGCCGTGCTGCCTCCCCAGATTTCGCGGCGCCCTCGTCGTCTGCCAGCACATGCCCGGTCCCCCTCCTCGCCCGCGCACACGCCCCGCGCCGTGCTTTGCGAACCCCCTCTTCTGGACGCCCCCGAAGAGGTAGTAGGCTTGAGGATCCAGGTTTTTCCTCGCTCTCGCCGGCTCGTCAGCGACTGTCTAGCCTGGGGATGCTCCTCCAGCAGCTGCGCCTCGCCGAGAGCGTTCTGGGGGTGCCCGGATCGTACCGAACGGCCGCAGGAGGCCAGATTCCATGGTCCCAAAATTGCCGGGGCACCGTCAGGGGTGCCTGGGCTTAGAGGCGGGAGGCTCGAGGAGCTGCGTCCGTCTACTCTCTAATTCGATGCTGACTGGTCCCGCCTTGCAGCTTCTCCTTGATGAGATCATTGCCGCCCCGCGCCGCCCCACCCATGCTCCGCGGTTTCGTGCGCGGCGGTGGCTTTGTTGTCCCGTTCTCAGCTGCAGGCATGGTCTGCGAACGCACTGCAGACCCTGCCGACCCCTATCGTCCTCCACGTACATTAATTCATGCATTCATTCATTCATACATACACACATGGATACCTATATGCATGCATAACGGCACATATGTATACATATACGCAGACAAATATACAGACACCTATGCATACCTACCTACCTACCTACCTACCTACCTACCTACCTACCTACCTACCTACATACATACATACATACATACATACATACATACACACATGCATACAAACATACATACATACATACATACATGCATACATACATACGTGCATGCATGCATGCATGCATACATACATACATACATACTTACATACAAACATACATACATACATGTAGACATACACACACATACATGTATACATACATACCTGCCTGCCTGCCTGCCTGCCTGCATGCATGCATGCATACATGCATACGCACATCTATACATACATACATTCATGCATGCATGCATGCATGCATACGTACGTACGTTCGTACGCACATGCATGCATACATACATGCATACGTACACATATCTTTGTACACACACATATATATATATACACATACATATATGCTTCCATACATATATACATGCATACATACACACATACACATGCATACACACATCCACACACACATATTTGCATACATACATACGTACATACATACATACATACATACATACATACATACTTACTTACGTACTTCCTTTCTTACTTACTTACTTACTTACTTCCTTCTTACTTACTCACTTACAGGCAGGCAGGCAGGCAGGCAGGCAGACAGACAGACAGACAGACAGGCAGACATGCATCTATTCATAACGTGATGCGGTATTTTCGGGAGTTCCAAGTCCGCCATTCCACGCGTCCGTGCTTAGAAACATCGGCGCAATGGGAAGCGATGGGTGTGGGAGGGGTAGGATGTCAGGTACGGCGCGAGTGCACGTAGCAGCTACGTGACGTAGCTTGTCCCTTGCCATACCCTTCCTCCTTCCTGCGTCCTCCTCTTCCCTCGTCCTAGTTTCCTTCCCTCCTCATGTGCTACATAGCTCTCCTGAGATCTGACGTCGCGAACTCAAACACAATATCATGAACAAGTCACGACCAGACCCCAGAAGCGTTTTTTTCTGAGCCCGATCGATCTGCGACGGCCCCGGGGCCCGAAACCCGGCGAACACGTCCGGCTCGGAAAAGAATGTGACGCGAAAATATCAGGGTCGGCCCTCCCTCCTCATTCTCCTCCTTCTCCTCCTCCTCTTCCTCCTCCTCCTCTTCCTGCTCCTCTTCCTCCGCCTCCTCCCCGAACTCGCTCTCTTTCGCCTCGTCCTCCTCCTCCTCCTCCTCCCTTTTTTGTTATTCCCATCCCTCCTCATTTGCTTTTACTCCCTGGAGATCCGACGCAGCGAACAGAAGTGCAACATCGTGAACAAGTCGTCAGGACCAGAACTCCTAAACCACCTCTCCGCGCCACCCTTCGAGTCGCACCCATCCGCGAGGGCCCAGTGCCCGAAACGGGGCGACAGCAGCGCCCGGCTCGGAAGCATTGGGACGTCCAGATCTCAGAGGGGCCAGGGGTCACAGATCCACGCCCGGATCTCTTCTGCGGTGCTCTCTGTGGGGGCCCCAAGAATATACACCACCACCACGTCGATTCCTCCTCCCTCCTCTACCCTCCTCGTCCTCTCCTCCTTCATGGGAGAGGGAGGGGGTGAGGGTGAGGGTGAGGGTGAGGGTGAGGGTGGTGGTGGTGGTGGTGGTGGTGGTGGTGGTGGTGGTGGTGGTGGAGGTGGTTGTGGTGTATATGTTTGTGCCCCTCGTGCTGCCCGGAGCTTCGGGCAGGATCCCGCCGTGCCCACGAAGGCGCCCCGGGACGAGCCAGAGCGCGGCCAGAGCCTCGAGCCTCGAGGCCTCCGACACCTCGGAGTCCTCGCGCCTCGAGAAATCTCCGAACCTCGAGGCCGCACACCCCGAGGGCACTCGGGGAGCTCCTCTCCGCGCCCAGGAGGAGGAGGAGGAGGAGGAGGAGGAGGCGGAGGAGGAAGGAGGAGGAGGAGGAGGAGGAGGAGGAGGCAGGAGGAGAGGAGGAGGAGGAGGGAGGGAGGAGGGAGGGAGGAGGGTAGGGAGGGAGGAGGAGGGAGGGAGGGAGGGAGGGAGGGAGGGAGGGAGGGAGGAGAGGGAGGGAGGGAGTGGAGGGAGGGAGGTGAGGGGAGGGAGGGAGGGAGGGAGGAGAGGGAGGGAGGGAGGGAGGGAGGGAGGGAGGGAGGAGGGAGGGAGGGAGGGAGGGAGGGAGGCGAGGAGGAGGAGGAGGAGGAGGAGGTGAGGCGGAGGAGGAGGAGGAGGAGGAGGGAGGCGTGGAGGAGGAGCAGGAGGAGGAGGAGGAGGGGGGAGGGCGGAGGAGGAGGAGGAGGAGGGCGGAGGACGGAGGGCGGCGGTCATGAGGAGGAGGAGGAGGAGGAGGGCGGAGGAGGAGGAAGGAGGCAGAGGAGGAGGGGCGGAGGAGGAGGGGCGCGGAGCGAGGCGGAGGCGCGGAGGAGGCAGGGCGGAGGAGGGCGGAGGAGGAGGGAGGGGAGGAGGAGGAGGGAGGAGAGCGGAGGGTTGGAGAAGGAGGAGGAGGAGGAGGAGGAGGAGGAGGAGGACGCCGAGGTCCGCGCCCGCGCCCCGCTGGGCCGGCGCCTGCGCGCCCCGCTGGGCCGGCGCCCCGCGGCCGTGCGGCGGCCCCGCGGGGCAACTCGTGGGCGGGAGGCGAGGGCGGGCCCCTGCTTCGGGGGAGGGGGAGGAGGGCGAGGAGGGAGGGCGAAGAGGAGGACGAGGAGGGCGAGGAGGAGGAGGAGGAGGAGGAGGGCGAGGAGGACGAGGAGGAGGAGGAGGGCGAGGAGGACGGGGAGGGCGAGGAGGGTGAGGAGGAGGAGGAGGAGGAGGAGGAGGAGGAGGAGGAGGAGGAGGA